CATCCAGCATTATGTTGCTGGTCTTAATGTCTCTGTGGATCACCTGGTTTTCACACTCTTGATGCAAATAGGCCAGAGCAGAGGCAACCCCAAATAAAATCTTTCTCCTGTGAGGCCAAGGCAGAGGCGTTCTTGCCTCAAACAAGGCCTTGTCGAGACTCCCATTGGGCATCAAATCATACACTAACAAAATTTCACCTTTCTCGTGGCACCAGCCTTGAAGCCTCACCAAATTTCGATGCCTGAGAGTTCCAATTATAGATAATTCCGACAAAAACTCGTTTTTCCCCTGGCTGCTGTGGCTGCATCTTTTCACTGCAACAATGTCACCTGTTTCCGGTAATATACCTTTATAGACAATTCCAAAAGCGCCATGCCCAATAATTCTATTGGCATTGAAGCACTTGGTGGCTGCCTTGAGCTCCCTATAAGTGAACTCCTTCGGCATTTTGATGACATCCGAAGCAAAAGAATTATCAGATTTCCTGACATGTTTGAATTTCTTAGAGTAAACCCAGATAAACACACCAGCAAACAGAGCCAAAACGAAAGCCGAAGCCGTCACCACGCCAGCTACAGCTCCTGGACCTTCTCTGCAGAGGTGGTTATGGCAAGAAGAAGACTTACTGTTCTTCTGATTCGTACTGCTAGCGTTACTAGACACCGAGGACCCACTTGGAGGCATTGAAGGCGGCGGAGATTTAACCGAATTGGCAGTTGGGTTCATCAGAGTGGTCGTCGGAGGCGGCGGAGGTGGTGAAGTAGACCCAGATGGCGAAAGCATCGAATCGAACGACGAGCTGAAGGTCCACCATTCGACGCTGTGAATCTCCGTGCTGCCTTGGGTCGACCCGGAAAAACCCACGTACATGAAATCGCTGACGTACTCGCCCAGATCGAGCGAGTAGGACAAGACCGGGTCTCTGGGTTTCAGATTCGAGTACGAGACCGAGACGTTGATGACCCGACTCGACCCGTCGTACTCGATCCACGAGTTCACCAGGTCGCCGCTCTTGAGATCGACATCGATGGAGCTCAGATCACCGACACGTGTCGACGCCATGGAGTTCAGATCCAAGCCGACGTGGTTGCTGTTGATGTCCTTGAACTCGACGTCCATGAGGGTGTCGAACTCGATGGCGACGAAACCCGACCCGGGATCCGAGCCCGACTCGAGGCCGAGGAAGCCGCCGGCGTCGCCTAGGACGGCGTCGTCGGGGGCGATGAGGAAGGCGAGGCCGCCGCCGATGGAGGAGGGGTTGAGGTTGGTGATGGAGAAGGAGAAGAATGTGGAGAAGCTCGCCGGAAATGGGGAGGAGGGTTGCCGGAAGGGGACTGGCTTGGAGTAGAGGACGCGGCCGGCGCCGGAGTTGGGGACAGCGAGGTCGCGGGTGAGGCGGACGCTGCCATTGTTGAGGTGGGCGTCGCCGATGAGCTTGAGGCTGCTCAGAGTCAGGGACCCGAAGTCGAACTCAGTGGCCGCATTGGTAATAACAAGGAAGAAGAAGGGCAAAAAGACAACGAGTGAAAAAGTGGAGCAATAAAAATCCAACATTATCAGTGATGAGCAGCCATCAGAATTTTCTGTGGTGCTTGTGGAGGGTTGAAGAAGATGAGATGAAGAAATTTATGAAGTGAAATGAAATCACGGGGTTTTGCGTGAGGAGAGAGAGTGAGTGATGGAGAGGTTGTATTCTTTGCCTTAAAACAGAACAAAGCTGGGGAAGCAAACAAGGAATACTGATGGGGAGAGGGAGAGGGGTGCGGGGGATACAGAATCCAAAGGAGACAGGTGGATGGGCATTGCGCCACGTGTCCCTACGTAACGGTTATTTTTTCGGTGATCGTAGATAAAGCTAGTCTTTCTTTTACTTTTTGGCTTTGAGCTCGCGCCACTAGCTTTTACGGGAAATTTCTGCTCGCACGTAACGACTATTTGTCACGCTTTTAAAACCAATTAGTTGCTTGATGATGGTCAATAACGTGAGCTAATTGTCAATCAGTAATGTTAATTAATATGCTTAGCTAAAAAAGAATTTTTAATTAAGATAGAGATGTTCTGTCTGCTAATTCCATTATTTGTCATGGCAAATTTGTTAATTAGTGATGATTAAGACAATGTTAAATAGTGACATAATATCTAGTTGCTATTAGTCCAAAACATTAAAGTCTATGAAAATTTGAAATTTTGGATTGCCATTTTCTCGGCACAATCCTTACTCGCCCTCGAATGACAACGACTAATAATGCTACTTATGTAGTGGTAATACGGGTGCTAATGCATGTGTGTGTCGACGACAACGATATATATTGATGACAGTGTGTAGCAAATGGTGATGGTGGTGGTAAGCATGGCAGAGTTGTAGTGGCGAGGTGATGGCGTTAAGGATGACTACAAAGGCAACTACATTACTAGTGTAATGAAATGTTCTATAGATCTCATTTGTTGGTTCCTCTCGACCTATTTTTTTTTTCTTCTTATAATGAGGTGGCAGTGGCGACTTATTGTTTGTAGGATATATTATTATAAGGTTTCTGTATTTCTTGGATTGTTTGTTGTTTTGGGTCTATACTTGGAGTCGGGTTTTTCTTTTCTTCTTTTTTGTTGAGCTCTTGTTTTTCTTTTTCTGATTTTGTATTGGGCTTTTTGTAATCTCTGTTTGGTAATGATATGTTTATTCATTTGAATAAAAGTAAAATAAAATTAGTGTACTATAATTGGAATCTTTTTTCTTATAATGCTATTGTTTTAGGATTTGACAACCACGCAATCTTTTCGAAAAACGTAAAAATCTTAGTTTTCACATGTTGAATATAAGCTTCACATTCACACCCTTACATTTGTTTGTACCGCAATTTTTCTAATTTCTCTTTATTTATGTATTTATTTTTTACCTTCTCACCTCCGTTTTTCGACTGGAAATCAGCACGTCGTGTTAAGTTGACTGTTGAGCACGCATGACATACGCGCCCCGCCGGGGCATATACACCACACTGGCCACGTCACCTTCGTCATGCTTCCACTCCACATAACCACACGTCTTCAGGGTTGTTCCATACTTCCATTCCTATGTTTTTGGGCCATTAATTGTTGAGTTGCCTTGTGTTAGACATTGTATGCAATGCACCATGATCACGGACACAATAAAATTGTTGCTTAACAATTTACCCTTAAAATTATGCTACCGTTAGTCGCAAGGCCAGCCCGAAGGGTGTGTAGATGGTGTCATCGCACAAGGTCCGTATGTGTTTGAATGATGCTTATACTACATGCAAAAGATATGTTGCAAAATTAACTCCCACCGCAAATGGCATTGTTGCTTATATTTCAAAAACAGAGAGCGTTGTTGACATGTGTTCAAACATAACTTTTAAAATCTCTAAAGGCTAACCTTGGTTGCGTGTGAATGTAATATCACAACGTCAATTTTTACAGCTATTTAAACTTAAACGATAAGAGATCATGTCGTGTAATCGAAAATATGTCCTCTTATGCAAGAATTTGTGCCAAATGATACACAAATTGGTATAATGGTAATATACTAGTGCGTACAAGAATGTGGAACTATCATCTCTCTCAACGGAATAGTTTGAAAATTGGATGGTGTTGGCGTGCTGTGGCCTATGGGGACCCATATAGTTAGGTGGACGTGCAAGAGAGACATCTAATCACTTTAATCTTGTCTCGGTGGTTCCATCGGAAAAGGAAGGTGGTCTAGGTGACAATGAGATAATATATATATATATGAGTGGGCAGTGGGGACTCTGGGAAGAAGAAGACCATTCATGTGTTTGGCAGCTTCAGTTTTAGACTTTGAGTTTGCGTGCGTTTCACATTTTCACTCTAGTTTTTTTGTTGCTTTTTCCCCATTGTTTTATGACTTCAATCGTGCTGGTTACCAAGTTCAGGCACGTGCTCACGTGCTCGGATAAATTTCTAGAAGCATTGTTTTTTTAGGTTGCAATGCAAGAATGCTTTAGACATCTTCATCTCAAGCTTTTTGATATATTATTATTCACACACCCCTTTCAATCTTATCATTTCATGTTCACGTATCAATTTGACATCTCGATTGAATATTAATCAATTAACTATAATGAAGTCATGAATGATGAAATCTTGACATCAGACGGCTACCAATATGAATAGTATATGATCATATAGATCCACAAAATCTAAACGGTCCACTAATAATATAAGTCTAAGCCACTGTCCAAAATATAAAGATAATACATTTTTATGTATAATATGATGATTAAAGATAAGGTAGTGGAAGTATTTGATTGGTACAAATATTATACATAAAATTATATATAATATTGAACAGCTGAAATTAAATATGCAACATTGATAATCAAGCTAGATTAATAACAGCTGGGAGGCATAATAATGGAGCTAGTTCTAACATCACTATTTGAGAGTACTTGAACACGGAACTTTAGATGATGAGTGAATTCTCTTAACCAACTGAACTGCACTTATTAAAACGGGTTTTTTTTTTAAAAAATCAACTATGGCTACATGCGCATGAACAATAATTATAACAAACTCAACTAAAAAGTGTTAAAACTTCAAAATCACTCAATCAATGGGACGTTCATGAACAATTACATTTTGACATTATGGTCATGTACTCAATTCATGATCACTTTACACACTTCTGAAAGTGTCTTCAATTTTCTGTTAAAATGATTTTTTTGTGTAAATTTTACACATTTTGACATTATGGACATTATGATTTTCTGTTAAGATGATAATGAATCGAGTACATTACCATAATTGTAGCGTGTAATGATAATTTAGACCCTTCATGTTAGAATAAAACAACATTTTGATCTCTCTCTCTCTCCTTCAATCAACATTTAGGGTTTAATTTACCATTATACCCTTGAAACAATGGTGATGTGCTTGGATTTTGAAGTTTGATTAAGTGGACTAAACCTGGGTTAATTAATTTCAATGGACCAAACCTGAATCAAACACGCATCCAAGCCCATACTTTCCACAAGCCCTTCTTTATTAATGGATCATATATTTGCAACCCTCCAAGAAGTTGGCTATTAGTCTCAAACATTGCATGACTAATTTGTATTTACATAGCGACAATCCTTTCTGACTTCTCCTTGGTCCCCAGTAAGTGGATTGTACTCGGACAAAAGCAGGGCAGCCCTAGAAAACTGCTCGTTGAAGTAGTCATTATCAGAAGCCATCTTTTGCACAAAGGGCAACGTAGCTGGGTCAGAAGCAAGTTCTTGATCCACCATGAGCAGACCCTTGTTCTTCAACAAGTTCTTGTAGTAATTGTTGTCCAGAATCATGGGCGTTTCACGGTCGTTCCTCGAGTATTGGACTGCCGTTGGGTCTGGGATTGGAGTTGGGCACCGGCCTTTGAGGTACTCAGCATAGTCGGGGTCTAGGGTTGGATCGACAGTTGGGTAGAGTCTGTGTACGAGGTTCACACAGTGGACTCGTCCCACGGAGTGAGCTCCTGAATTGCAACAATTAGTAAACTACAAGTCTAAAATCGGAAAAATAGAAACTATAAGAACCGAAATCGTAATGTAAGCTACATTTATTTGGAATTTTTTTAATTGTGGATTAGCATAGTCATTATAATGAAATCGGATTAGAAAATGCCCATTGTGTTTTGCTCATTTGGTTAGTGATCACTATTTGATTAATGAGTTATTTTATGATTCTAATCCAATAGAGTGATTAACTATAGTGTGATTTTGTACAACATTTTATATTTTGGACCTAAAATATTGGTGAATTATATTTTAGGCACATGTGGAGGCCCCTACTCTCCTCATATATAATAAGATATTTGCCGACCCATTAAGCTATTCTTGAAGGATTGTATATGTAAACAGTAACTTAAAGTTTTCCATTTTTGTTTTTTGTTTTTTGTTTTTTGTTGTTTTTTTGTCATTCATTGGGGAGGGGAAGGGGGAGTATTATGTTCGGTTGCTTTGCCTCAAGATTGCATCTTACGTGAATTGAACCTGAGTGCACTTGAGGTGAAGGGGAGAGTTTAGACAACTTTTCCACTGCGGTGCCACCCCGTGTATATTTTGTTTATTTAATAAGTTGCATACAAATTACAATTAAGAAAGTCAAAGATAATGCAATATGCATTTACATACCTAAAAGGGCAACTGTGCCTTCCACATCGATGCCAACGGATTGGAAGCGAGAGAGCACTGAAGACATTGAATCATTGTGATTAGGAATGAACTCTTCCACGATTTTCGCATAACTCTCGTTGCTGTCTCTTCTTCCCGTTTTCATCTCAATGTGTGGCCCTCCTAACTGCAATTAATTATCATGTTCACACCACTAAATTTTCTTAACCTCTCTCCTTAATTTAAAAAACCTCAAGTGGAGATCTATTGGATTTTAATTATTAAAAAAAAATACACCTAGCTAGCCGGGTACAAAGAGTTGAAAGCGCTTCTTGACAACGTTTAACGCAAAAACTTTAAAGTACTCATAAAGCGTTTTCTAGAAGAAGTACTTTCAACGTGTGCTTCTAATAAAAACGATTATGAGTAGAATTACTTTTTTTTTTTTTTATAAAAACAGTCAATAAAAACAAGTTTTATAACGAAGTATCGTAAATAAAAAGAGAGAGAACGAAAGTTAGGGAGAATGAAACGCATGCATATATATTACTATACATACCATGACAATACCATCTCTCGCAGAAAGAGCAACAACATCAGCACAAGAAACTGCGGAGGGGCATTCATTCTCAAGAGCCTTTTTGATTGTGTTCACGTACTTAAAATTTCTCATCCCAAAGCTCCTTCCAGATGCCTTCTCTGACTCTATCCCATTCACACTCTCTAACAATAAAGATGCATCACATCCCTACGTATATATATAGCCACAAATTAATTAAAGTATAATCTTTTTATTTGATCTCTTTTTTACCTAATAATAAATTGACTAATTAGGTCTCAAAGTCAGAGGCACAACCCATACCTGAACAAAGCAATCATGGAAGAGATTTCTAAGCCAAGAGACGGCTGTATTTCCATGTTCATAGTATAGCTTGGCAACCTCTTGCTTGATGATTTCTTCAGCTTTTGGGCAACTCTCGGAGTAATAGTTTAGTTGGAGCTCACTTTTACCTATGCCAATCAAATTAAAACATATAACATTTTCGACGTAAATAATTAGGTTACGGCATAATAACTTGGACATACAAGAGTTTATATGATCAATAATTCAAATTGATAGATTGATTGGCGAGGTATACAATAAAAATGCACAAACAAGATGGAAAAGTGTGGTGAATATGTACCAAATTGAAATTGCAAGAGCAATGGAAATAACATAAGGATGATGAAGCTTGAGAAAGCAAGGTGCTTATAGGCAGCCATCTTTCTAGTTCTTGGTCGGCTGCTTGCTTGCTTGTGTGATCTATGTGAGCTATTGTGGTGGCCTTTATATTGGGATATGGTGGGGTGTGCCTTGGGAGGATTGGATGGAAATAGAAACCTTGTAAGCCTCCTCTCCACCAAGCCACTTTCTTTGACCTTTTTGTCCCACGCGTGAAGGCCCACTCAAACCAAATATATAATTCTCAAATTCACAATATAACACAAATTCATTAAATTTTGTGGTCCATCAATAATACCACCTTATTATATCATTCATGATGCCATAATTAGATCAACCTTATGAGAAAAAAAATAAAAGATCATGCAACCATAGAAGACAAGAGAATTTACGTGAATGGACTCTTACGTTCA